ATTCTTCATGGCATCTGTTTTTTGTTGTTGTTCTTTCTTCTGATTTTTTTTCTAATAGATTAGTATTAAGAGATTTGTCTTCAATCTTGCTAATTATGTCTTCCATTTATTCAGTTCTATTCCTTTGTCCTTCCAATACATTATCTATTTCTGAAATTTTAATATTAATCTTCTGAATTTCTATTTGCTGTTTTTGTATTGTTTCTAATTTTCTGTTTATTTTTGTTAAATTTTTCATATATATATATATATAGGTGTGTGTGTGTATATCTATCTATCTATATCTATATCTATATCTATATGTGTGTGTTTTTAATTCTTCTAGAGTTTCGTCAGTGTTTTCTTGGATTTTGTGTATGGTTTCCTTGAACTTTCTCTAATTCTGTTGAAATATAATTCTTTTGAATACCTTATTGGGTAGTTCCAATAGTACTTCTTCCTTTGGAAGGTTTTCTGTCCTGATATTTTGGCTATTTATTTGAGCCATCTTGTCCTATTTTGTGTGTGTGTGTGTGTTTGTGTGTGAGATTTGAGGTTGAGTGTTGTCTCCGAGACATTGTAGTGTTATTGTATAATTTGTTGATCATATTTCAGTTTGCTTCACCTTGATATTTTGTTTTGTTTCAATACATCTGGCCAACAGGGCCAGCATGTTATTCTGGTTCCTGGTTTGGCAGCACTGGGATGCTAATCACCTGTCTCCAGGTGGATTTCATGGTGGAAGTTTGAGTACTAGTTGTATGATTGCTGATTGGGAAGAGCAGCTGGGTGGATTTTAACTACCATCTGTTATTGATCCATTGATTCTGGAGCAAGTATTGATACTTGCCCAGTGATTTGGCCTGCAGGCATGGAATATAGCTAGGCAGGGTTGCTGGCTCCTGACTACTGGGGAAACACAGAACAGAAAACTAAAAGAGGGGAGAGGAAGAAATAGTAAAAAGAGAAAAACAAAGGGTGAGAACTAGAAGAGATTGAAGAAGAAAGAAAAAAAGAGGAAAGAGAATAAAAGTGAAAAAGAAGAGACAAAAAACACACAGAAAAACACAAAAGAAACGTGGCACAATACTGATGCAAGCTCTAGAAACCAAACGGCTGCAGTAGAATTGTGGTGCTCACTTTTCTTGTGCTGGTGCTACTGAATGTGAAGGTCAGGGTAGGGGGAGACATGAGGCACCTGGCAGCCAGATCAAAACAGAATAGGAAAAAATATAAGGAAGAGAAAGAGAAGAAATAAAACCAGAGGTGCAAGAGGGAAGAACTGAGAAGAAAGGAAAATAGAAGAGAAAAAAATCTGGTGCAAGTGGATTTCTATAGCGGGAATGTGGAGCTCACTTTGGGGGAGCATGCACCACCATTCATGGTGGGGTGGGCAGGACTGACAAAAGGGTGTGGCATACCTACTTATGAGACCAGTAAAGAAAAATAGTGGGGAAGAGGAAGAAAGAAAGAAAGAAGAGAAAAACAAGGGTGAGAAGAGCAAACAACTAAGAGGAAGGAAAAAAGAAGAAAAGCACAGTACTGGCAAAAGTGCTAGCCACTTGTATAACTGTTGTGATGGTTTTGTTTGTATTCAACTTGGCTAGGCCTGGTTCAGTGGCTGGGCAGCTGAATGTATAGTATTTGTTAGGCCGAAGCAAACCCAAGCCACCAACATTTCAGTTAGCAGCTTCCTCCGAGTGTCAAGCCCTGATGAGACAGCCTGATAAGACAACCGAAGTGACAGAACCCACCCAGACTGGAAAGTCCCATGCAGTGGCAAAGTTCCTCTTGTGAAGCCCCCTTATGCTAATTAAGTACAGACCCATACTAACAGCTAATTGGACCCCACCATTTCCTTAGTGTCCCCACTTAGGGTCCTCCACAAGACTATAAACCCTACCCTCCCCAGCCAGGTGGTGCGACTTCTTGGGCCCCTCTGAGGGACCCATGAACCTCGCCCAGGCCCCTCTCCAGGACCCATAAACCTCACCCGGAAACTCAGAATAAAAACTTCTCTTTAACCTCACTTTTGTGCATCCTCTTCTCCTTATTGTGGCCTTACAGTATTTCCCATGATGAAACTGGTAATCAGATACTCCATGGTGGAATCTACTGGGAGCAGCTGAGTAGCTGCCTTTGGGTATGTAGTCTGCTTCCTGTATATAAGGAGAAGCTTTGAGAATGTTCTCTAGCCTATGGCATGCTTGGACCCTGCATGTAGCCATGTCATTGCTCAGCAGCCTGCCATGCTCTGCTGACCTTGGGACTTACAATGGACTTAAGTTAATGGAATGGCCTGCTGTGTAGTTTGGTAATGCTTGAACAATTTCTCTTAGAAACATCAGCACGAGGCCGGTCCCCATGAGGCGGAGGTCAAAGATGTCCCAAATGTACAAACTACCATGCCACTCCATCATTTCAGACATTAACTCCTCCTCCTCCTGCCAGTAATTTCCCCAGTCTTAGGGTTCTGTATTTCGCTGTAACACCTCACAGAACTCACAGACACCCAAGGGTTCGTCTCACACAGTAGTGGTGGAGGCTGGCAGGCTGGCGAGTCCTGGGTCCATGAGTATGTCTGGTGGATCCTCCCAACTCTTGGGGTTTGATGAACCTCGATCAGCAGATTAGATGACGGCTGCTGTCCCAAATCCAGGGGTGAGATGAGAATGATCCAAGATACAAAGCCGGAGCAAGAGGAGAGCGAATCTTCCCAGGAGATTCGTAGGTATACCCTCAGGGAAGCTAAGGGTGGTGATTTGAATTACACCCTCCAGCAAGGCAGGACTCAAGATACATTCCCCCTGAGTTGCCCCAACAGAATTAACCTAAATCCCATCACAGAGTCCATTGCCAGTCATTATAGGGAATGACTACTACCAGCTGCCCAGCCAAGTTGATACCTGACCTTAACTACTACAGTACCCCAAACAGGCATGGATAATGGGATTTACAAAACATCACAGAAAGGAGGACAATGGCTAGAAGGGCCACATCAAGCAATTCACTGCAGGTAACATTGGGACTGTACCTTTTCACTTGTCAACCTTGGGGCTTCTCAGCCTCAGCAGCCAGCAGCTGTCTGAGTGAAGAAATGCCTATAGCTCCAGTGGGCCAGGAGCAGGAGGCAGAGCTGGACCCCAAGGTTGAGGAGCTATCACCCAGCCCCTAGAGCCTGGCACCTTGAACTTGGACTGAAAGCCTCCAAATTATAAGAATAAACTCCTGTTTGTTAAGGTCATCCCATTTGTGGTATATATTCCTGTCAGAGCTGTAGTAGGTAACCAGAACAATTGTGCCTAGAGGGTGCACTTCCAACCAGGGAGGAGTGGGACAGGTGCCACTGACCTTGTGGGTGTGTGCATCAGGGGTTACCTACTCTGCAGGATGTGAAAAATGAAAGAAAAATGTCAAGAGTAGTTGGAAAAAACGAAAAGAAGAGAAGAAAGAAAGAAAGGGAGACAGGGAGAAGAGGGAAGTACTAAGAATAAAGATAAAAGAAGAAAAAAATGCTACAACATTGGCAGTTGTGGGGTGATACCATACACAGATTGGGTGGGTGGGGGGCATGCCTCCATTTACCAAGAAGTTGTGCAAAGTAAGTGCAGAGGTCACACTTCTCTAGTCACTGGTCACCCTCATGAGTGCTGGTGTAGTCCTGGGTAAGCAGAGCTGGTTTTCTGGTTCTTTTCAAAACTGAACACTGTTGTTGTTGTTGTTATGTGCCGTCGAGTCGGCCCCGACTCATAGCGACCCCTCCTTGGGTTTCCGAGGCAGTATCACTACGGAAGTAGGATTGCCCAACCTTCCTTCCGAGGAGTGGCTGGTGGGTTTAAACCGCCAGCCTTCTGGTTAGCAGTCAAGTGCTTTAGCCACTATGCTACCAGAGAACACTGCTTGCAGTAATTCAAAATGGCTGTACCCTGCTGGTTGCCGGTTTATTACTCCTTGTTCACTGTTTTCATTCATTCTTTTCCTCTCATCAGTATTTGATCTACTTCTTTATCCTTTCCTTTGATGATCTGGGTTCTGCGATTGTCACACATACCCATTTCAGTTGGTCTTGAGTCTGTTGTAGTGGATCTAGATAGTGTATCTGCCTTCTCCACCATCTTGGATCCTCCCTGATGGGTTCGTTATTGTTGTATCCTTTTTGTGTACTGTAACTAATAAGTTTTTTAATTTTTTCAATTGAAAAACAGCAAATAATTCGAAATTAAGTTTTTAAAGTTAAGATGATTTTCCTTGGGCAGCTTCAAAGAACTTTGGTGGAGTTCAGAAATTAACCTATGTCCCTACAGAGAAATGCGTTGAGGACTCCTTCCCCTGTGATCTTCTGCAGCATGAGCTCTCAGAGGGGATTGCCAGTGTCATACAGGATGGGGGAATAGGAGACAGATATTGATAGATATCTCCCAGGGTTCAGAGAATACTATTAGTTTTCTGAAAGGATAAATTGTATTTACTTGGATGAATTAAGAGAAAATTTTTCTATTTGATAACTCTACAGTTTTAGAAAGTATTTAGTTTGAATTTAAATAGCCACTTTCTTCTCATTGTATCCAGTTCCTTGGTCCTTTACTTTGCTCATTAGGAAAAAAAGTGACCAAATTGAGTTTTGATAAGATTGTTGCTTAGTTAAGAATTGTTTGGACATATTAATTTTATTTATTTGTTTTACCTTAGTGGTTCCAAGAAGCTGTTAAGAAATATTCATGTAGTTGGCATTCTGATATTTTTAAAAAAGTAAACTGAAAGAAGAACAATGTATGAAGATTCTTCACTTTTACTTGAGCGTATGTAAAAGTTTTAGGTTCGGGGAACCAAATTCATTGAATTAAAAGGATATGTTTTGCATTATATCATCTATGTTGTTGTTATGTGCCGTCAAGTCATATATCATCTATAGCATACTTATTTAAGAAACATAATGGGAAAGTGAAATTAATAGCATGATGTTTGAGCACAATTTCTTCATATTAATATGTTTAATTCTGTTTTCTAATGTTGGTTTTAAGGTATTTTTGACGAATTCTGCAAATGTCTTTTTGCTGGAACCATGTGCTGAAGTTCCCATACTCTTGAAAGAACAAGTTGATGCTTGTAAAGCTGTTTTGATTATCTTTAGGCGCATGATAATGGAGCTTACTATGAATCAAAAGACATGGTAAGTTTACTTCAAATAAGTTAATACTGTAAAACAGATGTCTTTACTTTTCAATGTAATAATTAAAATGTTAAAACTTCATTTATTAAATGACCTTAAGTTAACAATAAGATGATAACTTTTTATAATAGTTTCTGTGAATTATGAAGAAGGTAAGTACCCAGTAACTTGATCATTCATTTGTATTCATTACTGTTCTTAAAAATGTGTTTGAATTAAGAAAAAGTAGTCATATTACTTAGTAGATTTTTCCATTTTAATTTTTCATCAATGTGGTTTTGTGTTAAAGTGTTGTAACTGGTATTATAATATATTCTTCTTAAGTCCAGAAGAGTTTGTTAATTGTTCCCAAATACTAGTAATGGATTTTAATTGTTTAAAACTTGACGTTTTAAATTCATTTTGGAAAAACAATTATTTTGAATGATATTCTCAAAGTGACCAAAAACAGTGGGATCGAAAATATAGTGGTGTCGTTAAAAAATGCTCACACATATTTTTTTCTTTTCTGTTCTTCTTTCTTGATTGGTGTTTTTTTTGTGTTTCTAATATCCTTGGAGGAACTATCCCTAAAGATTGACAGTGCATTAGATTTTTTTCCAGTGGCTCTACTGCCATAATCAATGTCATCACATTACCCCAGCTTATGAGGTGTTTCCAATGGTTCTCAGCAATCAAACCCAAATACTTTACCCTCCTTCCTTTTCCTTTCATGCAGCTAACAGGTGTGCTCTTAACTCTTGTTTTCTTTTGTTCCTCCCACTCAGCCACACCCTAGTGCAAATAAGCCACTCTCACTGCTTGCCAGCTGGTTGGCTGCATTCTCTTAGTGATCTCTGCCCCTGTGCTCAGTCCACCAAATCCATTGTACAATGGAGGTGCTACCACCCTTCCTTTCTGGACTCCTTTGGGGGACTGTGTACTGCACCTGCATTTCTCAGTGCCCTTTCTGCATGTCCTAGAAACAGCATTATAAGGAGTCTGTTTGTACTTGGCAGGGATCCATGGAAACAAGGCATGTCTGAGTTGGAAGGGGCTTTTAGGGGTATCAAGGAACAGGTTGGGCCCAGAGAAATCATGTCACACAGAGTTCACAGTGTACAGAAACCACAGTGTCAAGTTCCAGTATAAATTTTATTTTAAGATGTAAATTCCAGTGTCATCTTTCCCTGAGTTCTGAATTTACCAGTATATACTAAGTCAAGCAATTATTACAGCCAGAAATACTACATTTGAAGAATATGATTTAAATAAAGTTAAATGCAGCATCAGTAATATTGAAAGTAGTGAGAAATGCTGCTATGCATTCAACTAAATTCTGTTCCTCTGTACCACATATGTAGGAGCTCTAGTGGCATAGTACCTAAGGCATTTGACTGGTAACCAGAGGGGTAGTGGTTCAAACCCACCAGCCACTCCTCAGAAGGAAGATTGGGTGATCTACTTCCGTAGTGATATCATCTTGGAAATCCAAGGAGGGGTCACTCTAAGTCAGAGCTGACTTGGCAATGAGTTTGTTTTTGTTTTATACTACATATATATCAGTAGCGTTTTTAATTTTCTTTTTTTTTTTTTTCACTTTGAAACTTATTTTGTGACAATTTTAAAAAAGAAAACAGTTTTGCTGTATTTAATAATTCAGAGACCCCCAGGGAAAAGTATAAAATACAAATTCTAGAAATAGCTGAAAATATTCCCCAACAAATAGTCAGTGGAGCATAGAAAAGGATTAACCTGTTCCTCCAGCAAATTTTATTATGTATTTAAGTACCAGACTAGCCCTGAATTCCTTTTCCTTCCTCTCCTCTCACTTCCTTCCTGCTGTCAGCCCCAGGGTTACAGGTGAGGAGAGACAACTCAGGGATGCCCAAAGTAGCAGGCCGGAAGAGCAGGAGAAAGGGGATTAAAAGCCAGGAAGCCAGAGAGAAGAGCAATCAGCCAAAGGGATTAGGTGAGGAGAGGAAACTCAGGCCCACCCAAAGAAGTGGGACCGGAGAGCAGGAGAAAGGGGATAAAAGCCAGGAACCCAGACAGAGGAGCAGTCAGCCCCAGGGACAACTCAGGGACGCACAAAGCAGCAGGCCAGAAGAGCAAGAGAAAGGGGATTAAAAGCCAGGAAGCCAGAGAGAAGAGCAATCAGCCAAAGGGATTAGGTGAGGAGAGGAAACTCAGGCCCGCCCAAAGCAGCGGGACCGGAGAGCAGGAGAAAGGGGATAAAAGCCAGGAACCCAGACAGAGGAGCAGTCAGCCCCAGGGACAACTCAGGGACGCACAAAGCAGCAGGCCAGAAGAGCAAGAGAAAGGGGATTAAAAGCCAGGAAGCCAGACAGAGGTACAGTCAGCCACAGGGACCCAGGTGGGGGTGATACGAGATGTCTCCAACAGCAAGACAAACTTGTCTGTCGGTTTGTCCTACTGTGGTGACATGTAGACGTGAGTTTTGAGGCTGAGCCTCTGGTGTTTAAAACCCAGCGAGATGGACCTGGTGCACAGGTAACAGCCCAGCTTCTAGAATGAGAAAGACTAGGAAGAAGGAAGAGGCCGTCCACTTCTCAAAAAATGGGCCAGGGAAAACCTTATGAAAAGCAAAGAAACACCGTTTGGTACATTACCGCACATCTTTAGAAATAGTCCCTTGAGGCTAAAAGGCTCTCAAAATAGGACTGGGAAAGAGCTGCAACATCTGAGTAAACCCAGCCTTATTCATATGGAAAAGAGAAAGCTTTCAAGACCTTCATTTGTTGATGTGGCACCACTCAAATTGAAGAGAAACAGCCGCAGACATCCGTTAATCATCTGAACATGGAATGTATGAAGTATGAATCTAGGAAAATTGTAAGTTGTCAAAAAGGAAATGGAAAGCATAAAGATTGATATCCTCGGCATTAGTGAGCTGAAATGGACTGGTTTGGGCCATTTTGAATCAGACAACCATTTGATCTACTATGCCGGGAACTTCCAGAGGTTCAAGCCGGATTCACAACAGGACGTGGAACAAGGGATATCATAACTGTTGTTAGATGGATCTTGGCTCAAGGCAAAGAATACCAGAAAGATGTTTACTTGTGTTTTATTGACTATGCAAAGGCATTTGATTGTGTGGATCATGACAAATTATGGATAACATTGAGAAGAATGGGAATTCCTGAGCACTTGATTGTAGTCATGAGGAATCTGTACCTTGACCAGGAGGCTGTCATTTGAACAGAACAAAGGGACACTACATGGTTTAAAATCAAGAAGGGAGTGCATCAAGGTTGTATCCTTTCTCCACACTTATTCAATCTATATGCTGAGCAAATAATCTGAGAAGCTGGACTATATGAAGAAAAACATGGTATCAGGATTGGAGGAAGAATCATTAACAACCTGAGATATGCAGACAATACAACTTTGCTTGCTGAAAGTGAGGGTGACTTAAGGCACCTACTGATGAAGGTTGAAGAATACAGTCTGCAGTATGGATTATGTCTCAATATCAAGAAAACAAAAATCCTCACAACTGGACCAATGAGCAGCATCACAATAAATGGAGAGAAGATTGAGGTTGTCAAGGAATTCACGTTGCTTGGTTCTACAATCGATGCCAACGGAAGCAGCAGTCAGGACATTAGACGACATGTAGCAATGGGAAAGTCAACTGGGAAGGAACTGTATCAAGTGCTGAGGAGCAAGGATATCTCCTTGAGGACTAAGGTGCGCCTGACACAAGCCATGATATTTCCAGTCGCCTCGTATGCACGTGAGAGCTGGACAATGACTAAGGAAGACTGAAGAAGAGTTGATGCTTTTGAGTTGTGGTGCTGGCGAAGAATGCTGAAAGGACTGTGGACTGCTAAAAGAACTAACAGATCTGTCCTGGAGGAAGTGCAGCCAGAATGCTCCTTGGAAGCAAGAACTGCCAGACGTCGTCTCACCTATATTGGTCATGTTGTCAGAAGGGACCATGTTGTCAGAAGGGAGAAGGATGTCATGCTTGGTAGGGTGGAGGGTCGACAAAAGAGGGGGAGGCCTTCAACGAGATGGATTGACACGGTGGTTGCGACGATGGGCTCAAGTATAGCAGGGATTGTGGGGCTGGCGCGGGATCAGGCAGTGTTTCGTTCTGCTGTGCATAGGGTCACTATGAGTCGGAAACGACTCTATGGCACTTAACAACAGTAACAACAACATGGGGATATTGTAGTGAACTAATTAGACAAGGTCCCTTGAGCTTTATACCATCATAGGAGTGAGAGAGACAATAAACACATAAAGCAATTTTGGATAGTATTAGGTGCTATGAAGAACAGTGAAGCTGAAGGGGAAAGAGCTTTCTGAGTTGAGTGAGTGTTGCTGAGGGTAGAGTAAAGGAGAGTTATTTTATCAGGTGTCAGGGAAGGCTTTTTATAGGGAGAAGCATTTGAGCAGAGCCCTGAGTGAAAAAGAGATGTGACGAAAGAACATTCCTGCAAGAAGGAGCAGCCAGTACAGAAGCCCTGATGGGGAAAAATACAAAGGCTGGTATATTCCTGTAAGAACAAGATGCCTACTGTGTTGGAAAGGACAGAATAAGAGGGATGATAGGAAGAGGGAAGGTCAGAGGGGCAGACAAGGGCCAGGCTGCATGGGGCAGCCTCGCAGGCTACAATAAGGACAAGGGCTACTACCATGTGTCCTGTAAAGCTGCTGGGAGATTTTGAGCAAGAGCATGATGTACTCTGATTTATTTTTCCAAAAAGTCTCTCTGTCTGCCAGGTGGAGAATAGGTGGGGGATTGGTACACAGAGTGTACAGCAATAGATGATAGTGGCTTACGCCAGGCTAGTACCCAAGGAAGTGCTAAGAAGTAGTCCTGAAATAGTAAATAACTGATGTATGAATTAGTAAGGATATCATCGGTGTGAGTAAATGGAGATAAAGTAAATATTAAAGACACAAGGATAGCACTTACTCTTTATTTTATGTGCTGTTGGAGAAGTGTGTGACACTGTTCAATTTTCCTCTGAGGATTTACCAGAACTCACAAAATAGAAAGAAACAAGGTGAAGTTAAAACTGGCAGCCTGTCAGTTTGTATCCTTTCTTTTGTTAAGAAAGATTTTTCTGATCTGGAGTTGGTTTTTTTACCCACATTTTCTTTCAAAAGACTGCATGAGAATTCCATGGCTTTCCATAGGTACTGAAATTAAGAGAACTTTGTGTATTTGTTAGTCCTTGCTTTGGTCAGATTTGCATTTTTTGATAGCACTTCCCATAACCAAGGTTTTATTTGAAAATTACAATGTATTTTGTTCTCATTGTGAACATGGTTCTCTGAGGGAAACTATCCTGGTTTCTTTTAACTTCTCCTCAGAGGTCTTATACACTAACCATTTGCTCATCAAATTATTAACCAACCATAAGCAAGGGATTGATTTTATTTACTTAAGCATCACATATAATGTGACAGGCGTAGGTATCCACATGGTGAGTGAAAGCTGTCCCCAGCTCAATGCCATTTCTTTCCCCACTTCCCTTCAAGGTAGACATCAGGCTGCACACACACTTTCCCCGATCTTATGTGACTTGATATCTCTTCTTGTTCCATGTTTCAGTGTATACAAATAAGCAAACAAGTGGGAGAGAGTATAGTGAGGATGTATGTTAGTGGAAAACTGGAGAGGAAAATCAAGTAGGGTTGGCCTCAAATAGGGTAGAAAATCACTACAGGTCATTATATCTTAGGAAGTTGAATGAGCTTCAACACCATGTATTGTTGCGAGAGAGTACTGTTCTGATATGCAGAGGTATTAGGAAAGTACAAAGGAACTACAATTTAAAGATCTCATTATCTCACCTGGATTAGATTACTTTGTTGAGTTCTTGAGTTTACCACTAAGGAGCACTAAGTCCAAGGAGAAAGTTATAAAGATGAGCAAATGATTAGTGTATAATACCTCTGAGGAGAAGTTAAAAGAAACCAGGATTGTTTTCCTCAGAGAACCAATGGACCTCCTTTATATATAAAATACAATGCATTTGCAGTTTCCATGGAGTCCAGAAAATAAAAACTGAGCTGGCACTCTGATAGGAGTATCACTTACTTGAAATACAGGAAGTGCCCTTTAGCTGTTGTTGTTATTATTATAATTAACAATGTTATTTTTGTCTCTGTAGTGCTTCATATTCTTCACACAATTTTTTTCTTTAAAATCCTTTTTCTATAAAATCGATTACGCTTTGATGCTGAGTGCATATGTCCCTCTAATACTGAAAAAGTCATTATTTTTTTCTGTCATGAAGATAAATAGGGAGACCTTATATGAGACCTTAATAAAGGGAAATAATAGATGGCAATTAAAGAATGGCACGTAAGTTCAAACAGGCCCAGCTATTCCCTGAGTGTCTATAAGGTACCACACAGTTGGAGAAAATCCTGCTTCCCTTTTTGCCAAGGGAAGAGAGTCAGGCTATGTTAGATCCTGTTATATCTTGCCTATTGGTATAGTCATGTTGTTGTTGTTGTTATGTGCCGTCGAGTCGACCCCGACTCATAGCGACCCCTCCTTGGGTTTCCAAGGCAGTATCACTACGGAAGTAGGATTGCCCAACCTTCCTTCCAAGGAGTGGCTGGTGGGTTTGAACCGCCAGCCTTCTGGTTAGCAGTCAAGTGCTTTAGCCAGCCACTATGCTACCAGAGCTCCTATTGGTATAGTCATGGGAGACATATTTTCAGAACTGTTGTAACATAAAGTAGCTTATTTTGGTGAACTACGGTGTTACATACTGGCAATCAGATTTTTAATGCTTTTGAGTAATACATGATTATCAGTGTTGCTGAATTCTTAGGAGAATTTCATATACCTGTAAGTTAAAGTGCTTTAGAGATACGATTGGTAATATAAGCTTTTGTATTTGGTGTCCCAGGGAACAGATGTTGCAAATACTACTCAGGATAACAGAAGCTGTCATGCAGAAGCCAAAGGATAAGCAAATGAAGGACTTGTTTGCCCAGAGCTTGGCAGGGTTACTATTTAGGGTAAGTCTTTTTTATTAAAACACTGCAAATGCAAGAAATCAATCAGATTTTATAGGAAATTCATTTTAATCATTGAGAATTTTAAGAATAACATTAAACTGACATTAAATTTCTAGAAAATTATAAATTTTCCTTCTTTACTTTGTTGTGAAGGTTATGATCTAATCTTTACAATTAGTGCTAGACTTTTAGTATTCCCTACCATCTATTTCCTCTTTTATTTGCTTGAGGTTGATAGAAATTAGCAAGGTGAGAAGAGCGGATGACCTTGGTGACTGGCCATGTGTCTTTGAAGACATAAAGGGGGTAATGGATGGAAGAAACAGGGAAATGGGAATAAGGTCAAGGAGGATTCCAGGTTAGAAGTAAAAATTCAAGAGCTATTGGTGTATAGTAAGAGGGCATTTAAAACCACAGGACTGGATGGGATTACCTAGGGAGAGAATATATATTAAAGAAAATGGACATGTATGTATATTAAAGAAAAAGGACATACATACATGGTGCAGGAGAAGGAGCTAGCCAAAGATGTGAGAAGGGGTGGCCAGTGAGGTAGTAGTAGTAAAACCAGAGGATACGTCCTCATGCCTGGGGAAGGTGTTGGGTAAGAGGAGAACAGCCAGCCAATTGACCATTGGCTTTGCCAAGATATAGATAGTTGAGAATGTTTTAGGGGAATATTACCACTTGATGTAGACGGAGGAGAAATGAGAGCTGGGCAGTGGAGGTAGAAAATATAGTCAAGGCTTTACAGAGCTAGTGCTATGGAGGAAAGAGAGAAAGGGAGCTAGCTGAAGGGGAGTGAGTGGTATTAAAGCACGGTGATATTAAAGTACGTTTGTTCACCAGTGGGGATGTTACAGTGAGGGGGATCTTGGTAGTCTAGAGGAGAGAGAAGATAACTGCAACAGTTAAGTCCTGAATAAGGTGAGGAGAATGGGGCTGGCCTTAGGTGGGAGCAGAAAGCCAAGGGCATGGCTGTTTTTCTCAAATCTCACATGGTCAGAATGGTTAAGGACTTGAATAGCCAGAAAGATTTTTTAATGAATATCATCATGAGGGGAAGAAAAGAGGAGGCAAATAATTAACTGTCTAGGAAGGTAGAGATTTTAAAGGGCATCGAGGGCAGAAGCCTTTGAAACATTGCTTTAGAAAGCACTAACATTTATAGGATGCTTAAAATTTATGATGCAATTCTAAAAGAGAATAGTATGAAAGGGCTCTGGAAAAAGATTACATTTTACACAAATAAGGTTATTGAGGTAGATGGGCCTGACATGGAATAATTGGCTAAGAGAAAGCATGATGGTTCTTGAGCTGGAAGTGATGATTTGAGCCAAAGAGAAGCTAGCTTTCCTCCTCAATTGACTTGTTAGTTTAGGAGGATATAAATTAAGAGGATATCTAGAATACAGATAGGGTATATAAGTGAAGGGGACAGAGAAGTTAATTCAATAAAAGGAAATACTCTCATTTTAATAGAAGAGAATCTAACTGTTCATGTTATTTTTTAGTAATTTAATATATTTGAATGATCTTGGTATTGATGAAAAGTGTATGTGTAGCTCCCAAGATAATTGGCAAATGTACTCATTTGCCCCAGATACTCTAATCAGTTTTATTCTGATTGCATTACATAGTTATTGGAGCCATTTTTGCTTTGCTATTGCTCAAGGGTGACATTGAGACATTTTGCTCACTTTGCTCTTGTTCTTAGTGGAAAGTCTCAGTATTGGAACCTACCTGAGTTCTTGTCCCTGATGAGAGTGGGCTGCCAGCTGGGGAGGAACTGAAACCAGTCTCAGGCTGGCCATTGCCTGGGCCTACTTTCTCACCAGTTATCTGGCCCTATTTCTATTGTGTGTATTGGAATTAGAGAACTTAAGCAAGAATCGGTTCTGGAGTTGTCTATTTTGTTTGTTTTCTGTTTGGGGGAAGAAAAAAACCCTCCATTAATGGAAAAATTTTGTCCAAGCTTAGTTAAAGATACATTTTTAAGATTATGATTATTATTTCAATGTTACTGCTTTTAGTTTGGCAATGATTATATAGATCCAGAAGAATGTTTAAATTAAGGCTTACCCATAAAATAGTGGAAAAAAGATGAGATTTTTGTAGTTAGATGGTTCCTCATTCTGATTCTCAGCTCTGCTACTTCCTGGCTTTGTGGCTTTGAGTAGATCATTTTGCTGAGTATCTTTCCTCATCTGCCACGCAACAGAGGATTGCAGGGTTGTCATAAGGATCAGAGCAGACTCGTGGGATTTACAGTTATTTCTGTTGACCTACCAACAGAGTTGTGAGATCTAAGGGGAGAGAAAAATATTAAAAGTCTGAACAATTCTGCCAGCTATGAAGTGGTCATCATGTTTGTTCCATACTCACACTAAAATGTTATCTAGTTATTATTCGTTTGATCATACAGATGGTCCAAAATTGCCAGATACTTGAATTTTTTGTCTTTAATTTGCATAAGGATGTTAAAGGAGACAGGAAATTTTAGGTTGCTTTTGCCTTTTTATCTTTCTTTAATTTTTGCTTTGTTGTTGTTAGGTGCCGTCGAGTCAGACCCGACTCATAACGACCCCTCCTTGGGTTTCCGAGGTGGTATCACTGCAGAAGTAAATTACCCAACCTTCTGTGTCATTTGATAATCTGAGCTGTCAAATTTCCTTCAAATTAATTAGTTTTAAATATTTACCAATAAGGGCATGTTCCTTTCCCCTAGTGCGATTGCCCTTGATGACGTTTTAATCTGTTGCCAGTGCTAAATGTGATCTTGTGCTTGAAGCTCAACCTTACCTGAAAATCTTCTATTTATAGTTGAGCCATTATTTAAAAATTATGTTATAGAAACATAGAAATGCAGAGAAATGTGGAAAGTAGTTGGTTGCAAATGTATATAAGAAAAGGAGTGATTTATGAGTTAAAGTGTTTATGTCTACAGCTGTGTGCCAAGATATATTAGATCAAACATTGAATTTCAGCACTGCAGGAACCTTGGAGATGGATTTTATTCAACTCTTTATTTTTAAAGAGAAATGTAAGTTCAAGAAAGGCTAAGTGATTTTAATAAGGTCACAATCTAAGTTAGTGACAGAACCAAGAATCTAGGATTCTCTCTCCCTCTTCCTCTTAATTTATTAAAAGGATGCTCTGCCTTCATATCCAAAGGTGCTGCCCCTTACCCCCCACCAAGACCATATTTTCCTGATTTTATTGTGTATAGAGTATGGTTAGTTGCGAATTATGATGATGTCTCATTAAGTTTGCAGAAATGTTTGTGATATTTGCTAAGATGAATTTCAAAACTGCAAGAAGTCACTCTATCATTGTTTTATAATTAGTCAATAAAATAAAACCAAAGCAAAATTCCCAGCATAGGCCATCTTGTCATACCAGAACATCTGGTTTTACCCTGAAGCAAGTACTATACCCAGATGTGAGGATGCTGAGTCCTAGTAACATTGCCAGCCACCACTTGCTCTTTTTACACTTACAACGTCATATTTTTCATCTCATTTTTGTTAATTTTATTGTATATATGCACTTTATGGTTGTTGTTGTTGTTATGTGCTATTGAATCGGACTCAACTCATAGCGACCCCTCCTTGGGTTTCCAAGGCGGTATCATTACAGAAGTAGAGTGCCCCATCTTCCTTCTGAGGAGTGGCTGGTGGTTTTGAACCACCACCCTTCTGGTTAGCAGTCAAGTGCCTTAGGCTCTATGCTACCAGAGGTCTTGCACTTTATGGTAATGACCTCAAAATAATTTTGAAAATACACACACACACCACATAGCTTGCTTACTGCCGGAAAGTCATTTCCGACTCATAGAGACCCCTCCTTGAGTTTCTGAGGCAGTATCTCTATGGAAGTAGATTTTCCAATCTTCCTTCTGAGGAGTGGCTGGTGGGTTTGAACTGCCAGCCTCTGGTTAGCAGTCAAATGTCTTAGGCACTACACCACAAGTATAAAAAGAAACAAACAGAAGTATAATAGAATAATAATTTTTATAATAAAAATAATTGTCAACCTAAAAAGTATTTTTTGTAAAAAAATTATTTTAAAATTTTCTTTCCCATTTTTCTTAATTTTTAAAAATTTATCTTAGAATCATATTTAAAAATGAATGTTTAAATCTTACTTTAAATATACTTAACTACTTTAGCTTTACTTTAACAGTTTTATTACCCCTATAAAGTGTTAAAAAAGCACACTATACACAAATTAGAATGTAGAGAACGGGTATATTGTAAAATTATAACTTTAAGTATCAGATGGTCAGAACAAACAAAAATATCAAACCCATTGTCATCAAGTTGATTCTGACTCATAGTTACCCTATTGGATAGGGTAGAATTGTCCCATAGGGTTTCCAAGGCTATAAATCTTTATGGAAGCAACCTGCCTCATCTTTTTTCTCCCAAAGCAACTGGTGGGTTTGAACTGCTGACCTTTTGGTTAGCAGCCAAATGCTTTAACCATTGTGTTACCAGAACTCTACTTAGTGGTCAGAACAGTCCTGACTAATTAATAGATTGATTTCTGTTGCTCACAATTTTCCTGCTAAGGAAAAAAAAGGTGTGTATGTATATATGTATGGATGTATGTGTAAGTGTGTATACATCTCCCATAATGGAAGCAGACTCCCTTATGGAAGCAGACTGTCAGATCTTTTTCCTGTGGAATGGTTGGTGGGTTCGAGCCAACTTTCATTTTATAGCTGAGTGCCTAGCCACAGTGCCACCAGAGCTCCTTAGGCAGAAGGCAAAGAGGCATAGAAAAAGTAAAAGCCAGAGCAGTTGGCTGAGGATTGATTGGGAATTAAGGAAGTGGGGGTAGAATATAGAATATTCTTCCAAGAAGTTCAGCTTTGAAAGGGGGGAAAAAGATGGTTTTAGGTATAGCATAAGGACCTGTAGTAGCACAGGGCCTCAGGCACCTGACTGCTAACAGAAGGTTGGTAGTTCAAACCCACCAGCCACTCCATGGAAGCAAGACTGGGCAATCTACTCCCATAAAGTTTTACCACCTTGGAAACCCAGCGGGGATCACTGTTAGTCAGAATTGAGTCAATGGCTATGGGTTTGGCTTTTTTTTTAGATACAGCATGAAGTCTGGGTTCAAGGGAATATTTTCTTAGTTATTTTTAAGGTGAGGAAGAACACAGCCTGTTTAAATACTGATGGATAGGATCTGGGGAAGTAGGAGAGGCTGGAGATAAAGGAAGAATGAGATTATTAGAAACAATAATCTGTGAAGAAGTGGTCCAGAGCATAGGTGGGGAACCAGTGTGAAAGAGCAGGAATGTTTCTTTAATTACAGCCAGCATGTTCAGAAGAAGCTGGATGTGAACGTGAGCAGGAATATGGATCCATGGGCAGAAAGTGAGGAAGTTCTCATTTAATGGTTTCTGTTTTTCCTGAAGCCTGCAGTGGGTTCATTTCCTAAAAATTAGGAAGAAGTTGGAGTTAAAGAGTTTTACGTATAAAGAAGGAGGGTTGAAGTAGCCACTGTGAAGAGTGAGGGAAAGAGCTTTGTTAAGAAACAGAAGGGTTGTGATACAAGGGCTTTCTTTCTCTTCTCCCAAATTGTAGCCAGACTAGCTACAGATACTGGAATAATAGTAAATGAGTAGCTGTATCCATAATCTTAACTGGTTTCACAGTAGCTCAAATTCTGATGACAATTGATTAAATGAATTTTGAGAAACTGAAAGAATAGCATCTAAAGATACTTTTTACTTTTCACTTCATTAATAGTAATTTAAAATGTTTTGTTAAATGTTATACTTCTTCCAAATGAAGACAATTGAATTCTCTCGTTGATCGGTTTGATTTAGACACTCATTGTGGCTTGGATCCGAGCAAACCTCTGTGTGTATATTTCTCGAGAGCTTTGGGATGACTTTCTTGGTGTGCTGTCTTCCCTCACGGAATGGGAAGAGCTCATAAACGAGTGGACCAACATCATGGACTCCTTAACAGCAGTGCTTGCAAAAACAGTTTATGGAGTTGAGATGACAAACCTACCTCTGGATAAATTAAGTGAGCAAAAGGAAAAGAAGCAAAGAGGCAAAGGTATTTCCACTCTTTCATGGTAACACCAATTGTCTGGGACTGAGAAGGAGTGCATATTTATACACCTGAGTACTTAATACTTGAAGTTTAATAATAAAATGAACCACCCACAGACAATATTTTTGAATAGTAGTATTAGATGTGCCTTAATGAGGATGATGAGTTGCTGAAGAGGCTGTGGAAGAAGAAGGAAGATGAAGAAGTAGTAGTATTAGTAGCAGCAGCAGCAGAAGTAATAATAATAACACCTGGTGCTTTTTATATACTATCTTTATTCACCCTCATGGTAACCCTGTGAAGTAGATACTGTTATTATCCCAGTGTCACAGACAATGAAACTGAAATACAGAGAGTTTGATGTGATTGACTCACTGAAGGTCATATGACTGTTGTTGTTGTTGTTAAGTGCCGTCGAGTCGTTTCCGACTCATAGCGACCCCACGCACAGCAGAACGAAACACTGCCCGATCCCGCGCCAGCCCCACAATCCCTGCTATACTTGAGCCCATCATCGCAGCCACCGTATCAATCCATCTCCTTGAAGGCCTGTCATATGACTAAGAAGTGGTAAACCAGAAATCAAGACTCCACACTGTTAAGATCTATTCTACCACCTCCCTAGGAAACATGGAAAAATCCTTAATGTTTCAGATAGAAATCATATTGCCATTACTGTGTTTTTGGATAAAAATTGTTTTAAGACCTAGGGTCAGATCAAGTTGGAAGATATCAGTGGTAGTTTCTCTTCCCTTCATTGCTGTTTTTGGGGACCATGACACAGGCCTTGGATTAATTAATTTATACTCCAACTTATTCTGTAAAGATTTTTGAGGAAGCATATAAAAATGCGTACAATACAATAGATAAAGAAAGAAATTGAGACTAAATTGAGGGGGAGCAATAGATTTGGTTAAAATGCCAAAATGCATGCCAGAGAGGTGGGGGAAGTTGGACTGGACTTTGATTTTCACAGGACTTAAATCAAATAGAATCACAGAGTAAAAGCAATCCACTTGCTTAGGTGACACAAAGCTTTTAATGGTCCTACGACTTGGGAGGAAATTCTCCTGATAAACCTCATAAAGGGTACACTGCTTGCTATGGTAGGCTACAGCTTTAAAAGTAGTCTTATTATAAACTGTATCAGTTAGTTTTGCTGTGTAACAAATCATTCCTATATTTAGTGGCTTTAAATACCAAGATCCTGGTTTTGTGAGTTAGTAGTTTGGGTCCGGCTCAGCTAGGCAGTTCTTCTGCTGGGCTTAACTGGACTCACTCACATGTTTAGAGTCAGCTAGACTATGAAATGGGTGGCTTGGCACCTCTAATTCTAAGGTTTGGCTGCCTGGTAGCTGGGACAATGGAGATGACTGGGCCACATGTCTTTCTTCTTCCAGCAGGCTAGCACAAGCTACTTTACATAATGGCTTTTAGGGTTCTGGGAACAGCAAGAGAGCAAGCCCAAATGAATTAAATGATTAGATGGTTAATTAAATTACAATGATTAATTAACCATGTAATTATGTAATTAATCTGATTCTTGCAATATCTTCTTTACAGTAAGAGAATTGTTTGCTGAAGTACCAATTAGTAAAAGCAAATCAGTAAGAAACAAAACAAAGTAGCTTAAGTATGTAGTATTCTAATGGAACAGTTGAATCCCATTTTAGATTTAGACTGTCTACTGCAATGATTTCCTAACATATTTTTTTCTCTCTTTTTTTAATACATTTTATTGAAATATAATTTATGTACAGTGAAATACGCAAATGGGTCAGTGATTTTTTTTTTTTTTTTTGCAGTGTTCCCTCCCCTCCCACCCCTGGTAACCAGCAAAGAAAGTTTCCTTCCATATATAAACCTTTCCTTAACTTTTTGCAATAATGAACTAATACCATAGTTGTCCTTCTGTAATTGACTTATTTCACTCAGCATAATGCCCACCAAGTTCATCTATCTTATGCAATGTTTTACAGAAGTGTAATTATTGACAAGTATGAATCTGTTGCTGTCATTTTGTCATATGCTTTTTCGTGGTATTGTGGATTTCTTTGTTCCATATATTTTTCTGCTTTGAGCTTGTTTTGTTTATGAATCATGTTATCACTTTCTTTATTGAGATTGTTTTAGTGTTTGCTAAATATTTATGCTTGTCCTCTTTTTAATTTTGATGGAAGTTTTATCATTTTTCTTTGAGGCTACACTGTGATTTATAATTTTCTTCCTAAGTTTAGAATAGTCTGTTCTATCTTACAGTTGTCTTAACATCCCTACCATTTAGAAGGTCTGTAACTACACAATTTTTTCCCTCTTTTTTTTGGTTTGTAGTTGTCCTCATGTGTTTGTAGTTGTCCTCATTTGTCAGTTGACATCTCTGGTTCCCTGTTTACAATCTTGTAGACTTATTTACTTCTGATACTCCACAACTGGGTTGTATACCAACCACCAAAGCCAAAGATGAGGAAATTGAAGATTTTTATCAACTTCTGCAATCTGGATTGACCAAACATGCAATCAAGGTGTGTTAATTATTGCTGGTGACTGGAACGCAGAAGTTGGAAACAAAGAAGAATCACCAGTAGTTGGGAAATTTGGCCTTGGTGACAGAAATAACACTGGAGATCGCATGATAGAATTTTGCAAGACCAACAGCTTATTCATTGCAAATACCTTTCCTCAACCAAAAAAACAGCGGTTATACACATGGACTTCACCAGATGGAGTAGACGGGAATCAGATTGACTACATCTGTGGCAAGGGACTATGGAAAAGCTCAATATCTTCAGCCAAAACAAGGCCAGCAGCTGATTGTGGAACAGACCTTCAACTGCTCATATGCAAGTTCAGCTTGAAGTTGAACACAATTAAACAAGTCCACAAGAGCCAAAATATGACCTTGAATATATCCCTCCTGAATTTAGAGACATTCTAAAGAATAGACTTGATGCATGGAACACCAGTGACTGAAAACCAGAAGTATTGTGGGATGACATCAAGAACATTTTCCATGAAGAAAACAAGAGGTCATTAAAAATACGAGAAAGAAAGAAAAGACTAAAATGGATTTCAGAAGAGACTCTGAAACTTGCCTTTGAATGGAGAGTAGGTAAAGCAAATGGAAGAAATGACAAGATAAAAGAGCTGAATAGAAGATTTCAAAGAGCAGCTTGAGCAGACAAAGCCAATTACTACAATGAAATGTGCAAAGACCTGGAGTTAGAAAACCAAAAGGGAAGAACACACTCAGCATTTCTCAAGCTGAAAGAACTGAAGAAAAAACTTAAGCCTCGAGTTGCAATATTGAAAGATTCTGTGGGCAAAATATTGAATGATGCAGGAAGCATCAAAAGAAGATGGAAGGAAAACACAGAGTCACTGTACCAAAAAGAGCTGGTTGATCTTCATCCATTTCAGGAGGTGGCATATATTTAAGAACCAGTGGTGTTGAAGGAAGAAGTCAAAGCTGCACTGAAGGAAGTTGTGAAAAACAAGGCTCCAGGAATTGATGGAATACACGCTGAGATATTTCAACAAATGGATGTCCCAGTGGAGGCACTCACTTGGCTATGCCAAGAGATTTGGAAGACAGCTACCTGGCCAGCTGTCTAGAAGAGATACATATTTGTACCCATTCCAAAGAGAAGTGATCCCACAGAATGTGGAAATTATCAAACAATATCATTATTATTGTATTCAAGTAAAATCTTACTGAAGATAATTCGTAAACAGTTGCAGCAATATATTGACAGAGAACTTTCAGAAATGCAAGCTAGAGTCAGAAGTGGACATGGAATGAGGGACATCATTGCTGATGTCAGATGGATCTTCGCTCAAAGCAAAGAATACCAGAAAGATGTTTACTTGTGTTTTATTGACTATGCAAAAACATTTGATTGTGTGGATCATAACAAACTGTGGATAACATTGAGAAGAATGAGATTTCTAGAACACTTAATTGTACTCATGAGGAACCTGTACGTAATCAGGAGGGGGGACACTGCATGGTTTAAAATCAAGAAGGGAGTACATCAGGATTGTATCCTTTCACCATACTTATTGAATCTATATGCTGAGCAAATAATCCAAGAAACTGGACTATATGAAGAATGTGGCATCAGGATTGGAGGAAAACTCATTAACAACCTAAGATATACTGATGATACAACTTTGCTTGTTGAAAGTGAGGATGACATGAAGCACTTACTGATGAAGATTGAAGAGTACAGTCTGCAGTATGGGTTATATCTCAATATAAAGAAAACAAAAATCCTCCTCCACCTCCTCCTCTTCGACCTATAACAGCATAACAATAAATGGAGAAAAGATTGAAGCTGTCAAAGACTTCACATTGCTTGATTCTACAATTGGTGCCAATGGAAGCAGCAGTCAGGACATCAGACAATGTATAGCACTGGGCAAATTGGCTGCAGGAGACATCTTTCAAGTGCCGAAGAGCAAAGGTGTCTTCTTGAGGACTAAGGTGCGCCTGACACAAACCATGTTATTTTCAGTTGGCTCATGTACATGTGAGAGCTGGACAATGAATAAGGAAGACTGAAGAAGAGTTGATGCTTTTGAGTTGTAGTGCTGGCAAAGAATGCTAAATAAGTACCATGTTAAAATAACCAACAAATCTGTCCTGGAGGAGGTGCAGCCAGAATGCTCCTTGGAAGTGAAAATGGCCAGACTTTGTCTCACCTACTTTGATCATGTTGTCAGAAGGGGCCATTCCCTGGAGAAGGATGTAATGCTTGGTAGGATGGAGGGTCAACAAAAGGCGAAGGCCCTCAACGAGATGGATTGGCACAGTGGCGACAGCGATGGGCTCAAGTATAGCAAGGATCGTGGAGCTGGCACAGGACCAGGTGGTATTTTGTTCTGCTGTGCATAGGGTCACTATGAGTCAGAGATGACTTGACAGCACCTAACAACAACAACAACAAATAATTGGGTTGGTTTTTGGGTTATGTCATCATGTGTGTTAATGGTCAGTTGTTGTTTGCTGCTGTTGTTTCTCTATCCAAAGCACTCCCTTTAGCATATCTTGTAAGGTTGGTCTGGTTTTAACAAATTCCCTTAATTTCTGCTTATCTGGAAATGTCCTAATTTCACCATCATACTTGAGGGACAGATTTTTGGGTATATAATTCTAGATTGGAATTTTTTCTCTTTCAGTGTTTTATATATACCATCCCATTGTCTTCTTGCCTGCATGGTTTCTGCTGAGAAATCCAAGCTTAGTCTTATTGGTTGCCTCTTATAGGTAACTTTTTATTTTTTCCCATGCTGCTGTCAGAATTCTTTCTTTGCTTTGGTTTTGCTGAGTTTGATGATGATATGTCTTGGTGATTTTCTTTTGGGGTCTATCCTGTTTGGGGTTTGTTGGTCTTCTTGAAGGGATATATTCTCATCTTTCATCATACCAGGTAAATTATCTTTCAACAAATCTTTGACAATTTTCTCTGTGGTTCTATTTGTCTCTTCCTTTTCTGGAGTTCTGATTACACGTAGGTTATTCCTTTTGATGGTATCCCACATGAACCTTAGGCTTTCTTCATTTTGTTTTGATCTTTTTTCTAATTGACCCCTTTTCAAAGAAGTGATCAGATATTAGTCTTCAGTGTTCCTAATTCTGTCTTCCATGGATTCAATTCTGCTTCTTTGCCCTTTCAATGTACTATCTATTTGGTGTTAATCTTCTGGATTTCTATCTGTAGGTTTTGTATCATTTCTAATTTTTCACTTATTTTGTCATTTTGTTCTTGTATTGTCTTTCTATATTGTTCTAGGATTTTCTCTGTGTTTTCCTCAATTTTGTTGGTGTTTTCCTTGATCTGTCTCTCAGTCCGTTCAAGGTACCTAAATATAATTATTCTGAATTCCTTATTAGGGAGTCCCAATGCTGCTGCTTCTTCAGGGATGTGTTCTAGGTCTGTATCCTGCTCCCTTGTTTCCACTGCTTTATCTTGCATCTTTGTATAGACTGTGATGCTCTGTTGTCTCTGAGGCATTAGGATGTTTTTGTGTTTATATTTAATTGATGATTATATGTTGGAGTGACTTGCCCATGATTTTCATTTTCTTTGTTTTGTTTGTATGTTACCTACATAAGCAGGGTACTGTGCTGTGCTGCTCTATTCACCAGTTGACAGCACTTATATACTCACCACCTTTCCCATTTGCAGCCTCCTGTATGACCCTGTTGTCCTTGGCAAGTGGAGCCTATTCTTAGGTCCTGTTTTCCACTAGTTGGTGCCTAATCCATTTCTGTATACTTCCTTTCAAAGCTCAGGCCTCCAGGATTATCTTCTGTATCTGTCAGTTGGTTTCTCTTTTCTTTGTTGGAGAGGGTCTTTGTAGTTTGTCTGCCTATTGTACCATCTTGCCAGAAGTTCTGGCTCCTCTTTCTTTATGGCAGTAGGTCCCCCTGATTTTCTAATATATTTTCAGCAGCAGATCCTTTTTCTCTCCCCCAGTTGAAGGTATACAGAGCCCCTTCCTAAAAATATATATTAGACTAGAGATTTTGGATTGAAATAGGGGCAGGTATCCAAGAGGCTAGTCCCCTGGAACTCTGCCTTGTCCCTCTCAGTAACTCTGAAAGCCACTGTGTAAATGCAAGGCCTGAGAGCATCAAGAGATGCTTCCATTCAGGAATTCGGCTCAACAATGCTGTAGTTCTCAGCCCAGAAGAGAATGTACCTTGGTAAAGGTGCTTTCAGAATAAAGGAGGAGAAATTCATATTACTCTTCCCTCCCACTGTACAAACACAGATTTATGGCACGTGATAGACTTGTCTTATGGGAAGTAGACAGAACTTCAAAAACACTATTTTCAAAATCGTACAGAGCAAATTTAATTACTTAATAACAATTACAAATATTTCTGATTTATTTATTGTATTTCTTTATTCTGGAAAAGGATTTAAGTATTCATTATAGAAATACTTGCCTTCTAAGCAGTAGACTAGTGGAAACATAATGGACAAAGGGCCTGGGTGTGAAAACAAGTCGTAAGTGACAGCCATATCATTTCTGTGGGGAAATCTCTCTCTATTTCAGTTCCCTCTTGTATTTCTTTTGGATCTTTGACCACTTATTGAAATCTGTGATCCGATTGAAATGAGAGAAAAGAAGTTGAATATCAGAACTACAATTTTTTATTGTTTTGGAGCTTTGCTAAAATAGGATTTTGTGTTATTTGTAGATTTTTGTTGTCCTTACTCATTTGACTGAATCTGCACTCAAGTTTATAGGCATGAATTTCTCTTAAGGATTTGTGTGATGGAGTTGGCATGTCCAGGGTGAACTACTATCCTAACATCAGGATCTTGGCATTTTTGGTTTATAAATTGCGGGTTTTGGAATATTGCAGGGATAGTGGCATAACTCCATTTGGTATTGTTTTTATACTGAGAAAAGTTTACTAATATTCTTTTGTATATTGAAGTGAGTACTACAGAGATAAAATTTTTATAAAACAATTGAAAAGTACTTTGACAACAGGAACTGTTAGATTACTGACGTGTGAATAACTTTCTAAATTGTAATATAAGATACTGGTACCTAATTTGCAAGAAGACAATCTGCTGATTATATATAATTGTATGTGTACCATTTGCTGAGTTAACACATGCCATGAAATGAATATTAATGAAGCCTTTAGACTATTTTTCTTATCTTTTGTCAGGCTGTATTTTAGATTCTCAGAAAGGAACTGCTGTGGGGAGATCCTTTTCTCTTAGCTGGCGGAGCCACCCAGATGCAACTGAGCCAATGAGATTTAGGAGTGCTACCACATCTGGAGCACCAGGGGTTGAGAAAGCAAGAAACATTGTTCGCCAAAAAGCAACTGGTAAACATTTACTTAAACATTTCTCAAAGTTCTGTTGGCTGTCTCAAATTGATATATAAGAATAAAATATTTAGATGTTTTAAGATTCCATTCAGAGCTTAAATACCGACCTTTTCTTAAATGAAATATATCTTTTTAGGTTTTTTAACAATCAACACATGAGTTGCAAAGCTGTCATTGTTAAACAATACTAATCTTAGGAGAGTATAGCAAACTGGCAAGGAAAGGATTGAATGGAGACATTTGAATTTTTGCTTCTTCAGAAAATTGATCTTTTCCTGTCTGTAGATGTCATTTTTTTTGTAGCCTACTCTAATTAATAAGAACTTGACTGAGAATCCTCAGTTATTTGGACTGCTTTGCTGCACTTTACTTTTAAAAACAAAAATCTTGCAAAAACTAAGCTTATACCCACTATTTAATAAGAACATATAAAGCCTTCACTCTCTCCCTCCAGTGATGTTGAAGCTATAATTTAGGTTTAAAACAAATTCATCTCTGTCTTCTCTTGTTTTTCATCACCAATATCATGCAACTGTAGTTGATACTCAGTATGTTGACTTCAGGAAGTCACAAGATCCTCTAATCATAAAACAAAGATTCATTTAAGCTCAATATTTTACAGTGCTTACTAAAGGCTTAATACAGGTGGCTTAGAATCTTGTTGGAGTTTTTATGAAAATTTACCATAACTCTTAACTGCCTAGACTTCCTTGAATCACAGTTATAAGAAAAACAATAATTTAAAACACTTAAAAAATTTTCTCTTACATTTTAATGAGCAGCAAATTGTTGCATGTTGCTTATTTCATATATCACTATGTAGTCAAACATAGCCATAGAGGCGATTCTATTTCAGATTTTCACCAGGTATTTTAAACCAAAAGATAATGCTCACAATAAGGAAGAGACACCAGTATGTTTTAGAAAATACTCAGTGTAATTATTTTAGTTCTGCTTATCAGTGTTCTCAGCTGTCTGAGAAGCCATGGTATTGAAAAACAAGTACTTTTACACAATCATGCAAAGGTTATTATGGAGTATGTCACTTAAAGACCATTTAAAACTCATCTTTGTGGGATTTAAGGAGCTCTGGTGGCACAGTGGTTAAAGCATATGGATGCTAACCAAAAGGTCAGCAGTTTGAACCCAACCAGCCCACTCCACGGGAGAAAGAGGAGACCGTCAGCTTCCGCTAAGATTTACAGCCACAAAACGTCTATGGGGCAGTTTTTGTCTGTTCTATAGGGTCACTAAGAGTCGGAATTGACTCGATGGCAGCAGATTTTTTGTAGGATTTACTAAATCAACAACAGCAAACAACAAACCTCATTTGGAATCATAACCTTTTAAAGATAGTGGAGCTAACAAGAGCTATTGAGATGAACAGAACTATTATTTTTATGTATTTTACACGCGTGTATGTGTGTGTGTGTGTGTATAAAATCTTCAAAGATCACTATTTTTACATACAACAGAAAAGATTTATAATTTTTTAAAATTAACATATATATACACACATGTGTATAATATATACATAATATATATAATAATTTTAAAAAATATTAAATCTTTTCTGTTGCATGTAAAAATAGTGATCTTTGAAGATTTTATTACTACCATATTGTTTTATAAAATTAAACTATATAGAATAAACATTAGTAATTTTACCCAAAAAAACTAAATTCACTGCCATCAAGTTGACTCTGACTCATAGCAAGACGGTTTCTGGGTTTCTGAGACGATATCACTTTGGAAGTAGATTGCCCCATCTTCCATCTGAGGAGAAGCTGGTAGATTTGAACTGCCAGCCTTCTGGTTAGCAGTCAAATGCCTCAGGCACTATGCCACCAGAGCTCCCAATTTTACCCAGTTCTTTTGTATTTTCATCATATAATGGCAATTCATCTTTTTTTTTTTTTTTAAATGCCCCAGAATATTTCATGGTAGAGCATGATTTCTGTAAAGGCTACCCTTCTATGAGAGAACAACAGATCAAGAAATCAGTTTTTGCTTTTAGCAATAAGATGTTTATTATGGAAGACACACTGGAAAGTATTTTTCTTCCTAATCCTGGTGAGAAAATAATTTAAGATTATTGTATTATGGTTTGCCCAATAGATTTCAGTTAGGTAGAGAAAACATCATTGAGGGGGAGGGAGAGAAATAAAGACTCAGTTGCACAATAGAGAAATGACAATTAGTTTAATAGAGATTACATTAGTTTATAACTATTAAGAATTATAAAGTAAAATTTTGTTCCTGAGTGTTACTGATGCTAAAATATTAGACATCTGAAATGATGAAGTGATTAAAGCAAATCATAATATCTACACAAAATTATTATTCCATACTTTATTATTTCTAAAATATCTAATGATAAGTTTTAGAAAAATGCACATTTGATTCATAAATGGAAAATTTTTTTAACAACATTCAAGTGAAAAGTCCCTGACTTATATTGAGAGATGAACAGCTCTTTTAGGAAATTTAAAGTCAGTAAGTTTCACATTTACGTGGAAGTTGTTTTCATTTAATTATGATGTTTTACACGTGAGAATTTTACTGTAGTCACACTGCATCTTATCGTTTTAATGAGATAGGCAAAGGATTAGTAGAAAAGACAGTAAAAAAATTATCTTTTACTTTCTGCATATGTGCCACTGCCATTTGTAGTTTTATTTCATTCATGTTAAATAAAGTCACATAAAAGTAATAAAATAGCAAGCAAGCCTTTTATATTTTTGCTATAAGGATAAAACTGATTTTAGTGACTGTGACTCTATAAATATGAGGCATATTCTCCTGTGTCCCTCTGTTTTTTCAAATGTTTCTCAAATATATGTAGAAAACTTGAGAACTCATAAAACCTGATACTAAAGTTATGGATTTAACATGATTTAAGCACAAAATGTGCTATAAAAGGATGGATTTCTTGGAGATATTTATGCATTTTTAAAAATAATGTCAAATCTTTTAATGATTAATTTGACTTTTAAATGTTCTTGAGTTTTTAGGATATTTAATTTACTAAGTGATTTGCTTTTGAATACAGTCAGCTCTCAGTAAACCAATTTGTGAATTATTTATTATTTGTTGAACAATTTTAATTATAGGCTAGATTTTTCCTCCCTTACTATAGTCATTTTGTGTGTGCCTTTGTTGTTGTTGTTGTTATGTGCCATCGAGCCGGCCCCGACTCATAGCAACCCCTCCTTGGGTTTCTAAGGCAGTATCACTACAGAGGTAGGATTGCCCAACCTTCCTTCCGAGGAGTGGCTGGTGGGTTTGAACCACCAGCCTTCTGGTTAGCAGTCAAGTGCCTTAGGCACTATGCTACCAGTGTGTGCCTTTAGGAGGGAAAAACTGATTATAATGTCGGCCCAGATAAACAACCCAAAAGTGAATCTGAGAGACAATAGAAAATAAATAAATTCCAAAGTAAAATTGATCACTTGTGGATTGTTCTTTCTACTATGTCATCAGAATAACTGGCTGAAAGTTGACTGTATTTAGAGACTCTGATTAAATATTGTGCTTTGTACTGACTTCCTCTAAAGTTGAAAGTGACTTTCTTTAAATATTCAAAGAGAAGCCAGAAAAGTCATAATAAGAAAGAAGTGTAAAGTGTTGATGTTCTCCTGACATACTTATTACTTTATTTCTCCTGGAAGCTAAGCGAAGCCAATCTATCAGCAACTGTGTTCACCTTTCTGAGGCTTTGCCTGCCACTAAAAGCGTCCCGCTCCTCCACACCGTGAGCGCTCTCTTACCTGGTCTCTCTTACTCCTCTTGCTCTCACAGCCTGTCAGGTACTGTAGTACTATTCTCCTGTGTCTGTCAGTGTCTGTGGGCTACTCCTGCTTGCCACTGAGCCTGGCTTCCTTTGTTCACATCCCACATCACACATGCATGCCTGGCCTTTGCACTTCCCATTGGTTGTTAATGGTATCGATAATTTTTATATAGCTTGATGTTTAGCAGAAATTAAATAATAAAAAAATTCTGTAACCTCACTGGTCTTTTCATTCAGGGTTGAAAGGATGTTTACAATGCCCATAAACATGGTAATTTCCAAAACAAAGAAATTTCGATCCTGGGCTTCAGCCAATTCAAATTGAATTCAGCCACATGTAGTTTACACACAGTGTGTTTTCTGATTGAAAGTGACTTTCTTAATATGTTTAAAGAGAGCCCAGAAAAGTCATGATGAAAAAGAAATATAAATCCTGATGATATTTGTTTAAATATCATCATTTAAATATTATCATTGCATTTATAACCCATGAATATGCTAAGTTTTATTTTTCTTTTAGAAATACTGTACTATTAGTGGGCACTCTGGTGGCATAGGGCCTAAGGCATTTGACTGCTAACCAGAAGGCTGGCAGTTCAAACCCACCAGCCACTCCTCGGAAGGAAGATGGGGCAATCTACTTCCATACTGATACAGCCTTGGAAACCCAAGGAGGGGTTGCTTTGAGTTGGATCCAACTCGACGGCTTTGAGTTTGGTTTTTGGTAATATTAATAATTAGAGTGTTTACCATCTTCTAAAGGAGACTTAATGGAACCTAAGCAAAAACCTTGCTGAACTGCTTCTGCATTGATTTCTCAGGCTCCCTGGGTATGCCTGCTTCTCAGGAAGGACTCATGCCAGGACATGGGCTGACACATTTGGAAAGTTTGGACATTTAATAACCTTGGGAAGACCAGGATATGGAGTTACACATCTCCTGTGCTTTTTAGGAGCAAGTTAGTATAATGCATGATGTTCTAAGAGTTAGGAAGTTGCACTATTAATTTTGCTTCTGCAGCCTTCCATTAGAGGTAGATAGAACCCAGTGATTGTTGAAGACTGATCCTCACTCTATTTAATAAGACTAATTTAAAAAGCCTTGGATTAAAGAGTGAATGAAGTTACTTTGAAAAATCCTGAGAGTTCTAGAATATATAGAAGTTTCTGAAGATCTTACCCATTTACTGTATTTTCATGCAGAT